TGAAATAAAGTGATTAAACAAAAATTATTACAAATATCGTAAATAACAGTTCACAAATGCATATTTGTGAACTGTTATTCACAAAAAATATATACAGATATTTTTTGAAGGGGGAGAAATGGTCTTTACGATTTGAAATCGATCTAACACAATGCTCGAATTCTCGTGTAAACGCGCGCCATCTATCGTAGGATAAATGTACTTTGTGGGAGTGTATTAAAAAACTTTTCAAAAGTTTTATGGCAATCGTACTATGCCACAAACCTTCGCCGGAGTATATTAAACAACTTCCCAAAGTTTCACGGCAATCGGATAAACGGTTTGGTAATGCATAAAGGACAAACACACACACACACACACACACATTCATTTTTATATATATAGATTAGACTTTTTAAAAGTCACTAATTTGTGTAAAGAAATTTAATTATTTATTTATTTATCTTTCAGCTTTTTGTTCGTTTTTGTTTGTTATTAATGTGTATATATTCGTTTTTTGTTGCTGTTGTTTATTTATTTATTTTTGTCATATGTTTGTTATTTGTGATGTTTATAATTATTTACTATTTGTTATGGCGCAGCTTAGCCTATATGGCTCTTGTGCCAAAAAACCAATACCAACCAACCAACCAACCATTTAAAAAATATATATAAAAATGAGAAATATCGCACTTCTAACAATCTCTGTGTGTATGTGGGCTAAATTTAATGAATCCGTGTTTCTCACATTTACAGTACAACTGTATGTGGCCTGTTACGCGTCGGAAAATCTTCTGATTTATTCGTGTACGCATCAGACAGAAAAACAAAAAATATCGTGTATCCACAAGCACTCCAATAAATAAATAGAATTGAAATGACATTGAAATAATTTCCCAATTAAAATGAATAGTAATAATATAATACTAAGTTTCAATAAAAATGATAAAATGTAAATTTAATTTTATCATAACGAAACTTGAATTTCGTTTCTTCTGAGATCGCAGCAATGCGCGACGGTAAGCTACTTTAAAATGAAATGATGTTTTAATATTTGTATTAATGATAAAGTGACCAGATGTTCCGCTTTGGGCGGGACAGTCCCGATCTCTAACACTTTGTCCCACCCCCGTGGTGTTTTAAAAAAGTCCCCACATTTTGGAAAAATTAAATTTTCGTCAATTATTTGTCTTATGTTTAATTAAGATTCGGTAAAGATCGTTTAGTATTGTGGCTGTACGCCATATAGATATATATTTTGTTCTAATTTTTGTACATTTTCCTTTCTTTGTTTTTTTGTCTATTGTTTGTAATTCGTAGAATTTTCCTTTCCAACCCTTCCTACTTGGTTGGTGATGACTAATAGAGAGGAATGTCCCTGAGGGCTGTGTGTGTTGTTTGAGTCCCCACCAAAGAGCATTCTTTTCTGGGGACTCAAACAAAATAGGACGGACGAAAAATTACATTAATTTTTAATTTTTCTTAACATAATGAGCAAGAAAAGAGAATGCAAGTTTAACCATGATCTAAGAAGTGAATTTCTGTTTATTAAAAAAACCTTAAACTCCAAACCCGCATTAACTCGTGAAGTCTCTATAGCGTTACATAAAACTCGGGCGTTTGGACCCTCTGAAAAATTTAAAACTATTTTTTTAAAAACCCTTAACGTTCGGTCCCGAGTTAACCCGGGCAAATTTAAATAATCGTACGTAACTTCTCGTTGCGTGAAATAATTCAAATAAAGCTTATTTACATTCTATTGAATATTGTTGATTACCTCGACAAGTTTCGTAATATTACACCCAATAGAAGTTTATTTTTTGACAATTTTTTTTGTCTCTATCTATAAAGATAGTATATCGAATGGAAAAGTTAGTGACGTATTTGAGTGTTTATAGTAATTAATGCACAACTATTTAGAAAACTGTCTTCCCCTGAGGTTTGTATGAGAATATCCTGCTAATGGCTATCAACAGCTGTTGTCAAGGTTATTAAGCTCTGTACACCGAAACGCGGCGCGTGTCACGTGATCCATTGCGATTTTTTGTTGTCTGAAAGATAATTCGCTTCTAAATAATACGTAATAAAAGAAATTAAGTTTTATGCTAAAATATTTTAGAAATGTATTTCATAATTTGATGTATTAAAAGTTTTTTTAATTTTTTGTGGGAGTTTTTCCTGTAAAGCACAAAAAAACAATGTTAGGTTAATGAGGTTTAGCATATATAAGTAATAACAAGAAAATAAAACAATTATCAGAAAATAACGTAATACAATCGAGTATTTTCAGTAACTTGTTTCAGGAGTGTGTAGAAAATCTACTTCCCTCAGGCTGTTGTTGGGAACTAGGTCATCCAGCTGTGTGTTACCTGAAAAATAATAAGTTTCTAAATAATACATTATAAAGTAAATAAAGATTTATACTAAAATTGTTTATAAATTTATTTTATGAAATGGTGTATTATAAATTATTCTGATTTTTTGTGGGAGTTTTTTTTTTTTTGTAAATCATATAAAGCTAGAAACTATTATAGAATAAGTATTATTGTAATATAAGACATTTTTAGTATTTGTGTAAAAATGCACATCTAAAAGCTTTTATAATAAAAGTTCTTTTGAACACCTGCTTGCAATTATAAAGCATTGTCTGGCATAATTTTTTCTTATTTTTCTATATCGATTTTTCTGTACAGATTGTTAAATATTTTGATGAGTTAGTTTTTTTTCTATTTTATTTTTATCTAATTTTATCTAAAAAAAAACACAAATTTACAATAATATTTACGTGTTTCATTTTCGAAAAAACCGTAAAATAAAATTAAATCAATCGGTTTTATTTGCAGATTTTATAATATAATGTAATATGTTGTCTTCTGTACTACACGAACTGCACCCCTCTATAGCCTTAGAGTGTGAAATGCCTTTGTTTACAATATACTGTTTCTCTTTTCATGAAGAAATCCAGGGAGTATTGATGTTCAAGCAATGTAAAACAAATAAAACATTTTTCTGATAATAAGCTAATGAAAAATATTTATACACAGAATATTTCTAAAAACCCTGTGTTCTTCTATCAAAAAAAACACGATGTTTTGCAGGATAACCATATTTACAGATGCAAGTATCGTTTCAATTGTGGTATCTCGCTTCAAATTCGCGCTATATTCAGTCTGTTTTTTGTTTTATAGCCAAGTCATATTACAGTTTACCGTAGTTTTGTTTTTTTGTTTATCACGAATTTAAAATTATAATAAAATTTTAAATCTCTGAACAAAACAGAAAATAGTTTATTTATTTATAAGAATTCGCTAAAATATCGTAAATTTATTAGTCACACACACACCTATATACCTATTTTTTACGTATTTACGAAAGTACTGCAAAAACCGGAAATAATAAGTTTCCCGATACATTCTTTGACTAGAAGCTTCTGATAAGACATCTTCTAGTCTAAGTACATTCAAATAACATGAAACCTAGCGAAATTACAGGTAGAAGTGATGAAAATAACTTTTTTCAACGTTTATTTACATTCTTACTCTGATCAGGTGACTTTGAAAGCCATTGGTTCTTCTCAGGAAAATCCTGAACGAACAGTTCTACAAAAACACACATTGGTTGATATCCTTTCAGTCATAATAAAAATGACCAATTAGAGCGTAAAAGGCGTACAAACAAGAACTTGAAAGCCAATTGACACCAAGAAAAGTTTCCTTAGACTTACTATAGTAAGGTGCAGTTTTCCGGGAATATTTATTGCTAAACAGTTTTGAAAACATTTTTACTTGTCTAAATAATGTTAAAACTTTTCTTCAGCAAATCGTAGATAAAAAAATACAAACAAAACAAGCCATTTTAGTTTGTGCTTTCAAAGGTTGATGATTGGTTGAAATAATATGTCAACAGATACAGAAATAAACCAATTACAGTTTTAAAAAGTTCACTATTGATTTTATCAGCCAATAATCTGTCTTCTTGCCGCTGATTGCTTTACAATAATAGGGGAGAGTCTTTCCCGACATATTTATGGTTTAGGGTAGTGACAAAACATTTATTGGTTGAGACAAATACAAGAAAGCAAATCAAAGCTTAGATAGCTACAAACTTCATTTCGTTTTTCACATTACCTTCATTATATATTTTGTGGTTAACTTTTTTTAATTATTTTATCACTAACCGACGAATGGCAGCTTCTCGGCAAAACTAATAATAGCACAAAGAAGCCGAATCGCAGGTGGCCCATGTAAAGTTGGCTATCCAAAGGAAAAGATGCCATTTAGGAACCAATTTTAACAAATTAAAAAAAAAACGAATGAAACTTTTTCCGGATAAAATAGATGTTTTCTTTTAAATAATAATAAAGGATTTTTTTTATCTGAAGCCATTCTTTTTAATAATTCGTACGTCGAGTAGTTAATACGAAACCCGCGGCGGCCGAGGAATCTTTCCGCAAAGCGAAATCCTAAGAATTTGATTTATTTCATGCCATGGTCGAAAACGGACGAAAAACATATTTATTCCAACGAATTTCGGAGATGGTCAAACCTCGAGACTTAGAATTTAAAAAGATCGTCTTTTACCTCTCCACGGCGGACATTCTGTACCATGTAAATGCAGAAATTAATTTATTTATCAAATGATTGATACAAAATTTAAAAAATTAATAATTATAAATTAATTAATTAAAAAAACATTAAAAAAATCCTTTTTTTAAAGATTTAAAATTTTACGAAATTCGAGCATTGTTGACGCGTTTTTTTAACGTTTGTTCGAAATACGTCACACATGACGAATCGCAGTTCGATTGTGCTTGTCGTTGTGGTCGGACGTGTGTGGCGTGGCATCCTCCCGGAGTCGGGATGATGCGATGCTACACCCTGGGTCCAGTGCGCTTGGCCAAGGTCTTCGGGGGTCATCCTAGCACAGACCTTGCTGTGGAGGATGTCGAAAGTGACATCTCGTCCGAGCTGACACTTTCTGTTTGGTCGCGTTCTGCCCCTTCGTCCTCGACGGCGACGCCACCGCCTTGCCCAAGTCGGAACGGGGAGGAGTCGGAGGAGAGAGCCGCCGAAGTCGAGGGACCGTGGTTTTCTTGCTGCAGACGGCTGCGGTTCCCTTGGCCTAGGCGGTGATCCTCTTCGATTTCCTCTTCTTCACCCGGATGCGATTTTCTTACCGGATTCGATACTTTTCACCCGGACATGACACCTTTTAACGGACGTGACTTCTCTTACCGGACGTCACCCACGGACTTGACACGTTTCTTCACCGGACGCGACATTCGGCCGACCTTTCTTCCCAAACAGCTGTTATGAGGATTGAGCTACCGGTTAGGGTAGGTCAGGTACTTCGCTATTCTCGTAACACTGTTCGGGAAGAAAGACTGTCTGATAAAAGTAATAATCTTGACCTTAGGTAATAAATGAATAAACTTCTCGTTTTCTCACTGCCTTTGTGTTTTGTAGGAAGAATCTCCCAAATGTTCCTCTTCGTAATAAAGTTGGGGAGAAGAATCTCCCTCCCCAACTTTATTACGAAGAGGACCGAGTGGCCGTTTATCGTACGAGTGAATATTTTCCGATGGTAAGAACTCTTTTGTTTCGTTTCTTAACACATCTTATTCTGGTATCGTAATTTACTGTTTTCTGTTTACAGACATGCGGAAGATGTTCTTCGATCACACACATACACACACGCACGGACATAACACCACTGTACACACCGTTTAACCTTTACTCGAATTCTCGCACTCACACACTTACACGTCAAGCGCCTCGTTCTGTGTAATTCGACACAATGAAACAACCCGAACACACGCTTCCCACAAATCCAACCCCTGGGTCCTCGTCCCGGAAAGTGGAATCGCCATTTTTAAAGATGAAAAGACTTTAAATTGGCGGCCGGAGGGGCTCTGGTAATCACACATCTTGCATCGATTAAGTGGAATTTCAGACATTAGCATCAATAATCGTTTGGTGATGAATTGGAAAGGAGAAGAATCCTGTACCAAGTATTAAACATTGTTTTTCCCACTATGTTTTGTTTTTGTGGCTTTTTTTCCTCAAACTTTTTCTGGCAAATTGCAAGGAATAATTTGTTGTATATGAATTTTTTTTTTAATTTTGAAATATGAAAATAAATTTTTACTTTATATTTGTTTATGGTTATTTTAATACTTAATATCAATACATATAGAAATTACCCCCCCCAAACTTTTTTGCATTTCTGGACATTTCTAAAAATCTTTGATGGTCATTTTTTTGACCGATCGCCATACTCTCCTTCCCCCCTTTTTTTAACTTTTTGTCCTGTGGCACTAAGAAAGCCTCTTATAGTCACATTATTATGGATTCGGCCGGGTAGTAAAGGACGAGGCCCGAAATATCCGTACTGATTAACCCCGAAAAATTCTTGGGGATTTTTCGACCCGTGCAAACTCGATCCCGGATCCCTAGAGCGATAGGTTGCCACTTTGATCGCTCGGCCATACTTTTTTTTTATTATATATAACAGCCGAAGAATAAAAATTACTTTATATTTATTTATGTTATAAATAAAATTACCGATAATAATATTATAATTAAAATATATTTAAAAACANTTATATATAACAGCCGAAGAATAAAAATTACTTTATATTTATTTATGTTATAAATAAAATTACCGATAATAATATTATAATTAAAATATATTTAAAAACAAAAAAAAAATTGTGGCTTTATTTTTGACGGCAGTTAGAGCGACTGGTTATAATTTGGCAACATTTTCACCGCTCGTCTTTGAAAATTGTGTAACATCGTGTCCGTGAATTGACGTTGAGAACGTTTGCTGTCATTGTTTTAATATTTGTAAATTATTTATTGTAAAAGCGAATATGGTTTCTACGGATATAAACGAATTAACAGAAATCCTCGCGCAGACAAAGGTAGAAGAAGAAAAAGGTGTCAATTTCGCAGGACGCTCTCTTAAACTCGATTCGGAAAAAGATGGTGAGATTCGAATTTGGTACAAGATACTTTGTATTTATGCATGTATATAAGTAAATGAATACAAGTACAGTGGTACCTCGGTATACGTCTGCTTTAAAATACGTCCAATTCGGAATACGTCCTGTTTGGACGAAACAAATTTTGCTCGGTATACGACTTTTGTTCGGTATACGACATAATTCAATTATACGCGCCACCAATGAACAAGTAGCACTATCGGTGTACTAGACCAGACTAGACGTTGGCGGTGCAACGGTTTATAACTTTGTTAAATTACTTCTAATTTTAATTCGTAAGTAAAATTTTATTATTTTTATTAATCACGAATTGCAAAAAGGCAAATGAAAAGTGACAGAAAACTAAAAAAATGACTAGAATTACAATGGGTGCGTTTACTTCTGAGTTAGCAGTGCTAATTCTGATAACCGGATGTGACGTCATTAGCACGTGTATTCGTGCTTGCTTGTCCAATTCGAAAGTGAACACATACGCTAACAAGAAATATGGCGGTTTCCAGCCATATTTCTTGTTAGCGTATGTGTTCACTTTCGAATTGGACAAGCAAGCACGAATACACGTGCTAATGACGTCACATCCGGTTATCAGAATTAGCACTGCTAACTCAGAAGTAAACGCACCCATTGTAATTCTAGTCATTTTTTTAGTTTTCTGTCACTTTTCATTTGCCTTTTTGCAATTCGTGATTAATAAAAATAATAAAATTTTACTTACGAATTAAAATTAGAAGTAATTTAACAAAGTTATAAACCGTTGCACCGCCAACGTCTAGTCTGGTCTAGTACACCGATAGTGCTACTTGTTNAACGTTGCGAAAGGGGTTAAATCAATTTCTAAACAGAGATCGAAGACATTAGATCATGTCGAGAAATTGCTTTTGCTTTGGATAACTGAAAAACAGTGCTGGAGACAGCGTATCGGAAGCAATTATTTACGAGAAAACTAAAAAGATACACGCTGATCTCACGAAAAATCAAGCAGGAACTAGCCAGGAAAGCGAGGTGTTTAAAGCCAGCCATTTTTTTTTACACGAGAACGGATTAATCATTTTTACATTACTTCTTATGGGAAAGGTTGGTTTGGTATACGTCCAATTCGGTATAAGTCCAAACATCGGGAACGGATTAAAGTCATATACCGAGGTTCCACTGTATCTCTTTCTTAATTAACCAGTGAAATTAATTGCTGCAATCCCTTTATATACGAGGCAGAAGTTATAATTAACGCGGCTCTATCGGCTGTCTTTACTTTAATTAATATAGGGCAGTGTTTCTCAACAGGGGCGTTTTTTTATATTGAGGGGGGTGATTAGTAAAACTTTGTTTCGGGAGCCCGAAAAACAATTTTCTGGACGATAAAGTAAAACATTATAGTAAGAATAATTAGATATTTTATTCGTTATATCGTACAATAATTAAACAAATAACATTATACTAGTCACTAGTCTATTCAATACAGTACGAATTTGGCGTTAGCCTTGGCCCTCGGCATCGGAATTTTGAAGTGAAGGGGGCGACAATTTGTTAGAGGTTGAGAAACACTGATATAGGATAATGGCACCGGTAGTCAAACATTTAACACTGTGGAATTATGGTTATTAACTATGCTGGCATCACGTGTTAGCTGCATTGTTGCAGAAACGTTCACCGAAGCCAGGAACAACTTCGGTGAACGTTTCAAATGATATTGTCTGCTTCAGCGGTCTTGGCTGATGTCTTTCAGTTCATCTATTTCCATGTCGTTGTCTCGACCCTCGGCGCAACTTGCACGCTTTTGCTTCTCGGTGATCCCGATATCGTTTGTGTTTAGCGATGCAAGAACTGTTCTGAATTTGCTCCCTTAACCACTATGTTTCCTGGGAAATCTTTCAGTTTTTTTTTTTATCAGTCTTTCTGTTTTCCTCCTTTCTTATTCTTCTGTTTTGCTCACTATTGCTCTTTCCTTTTCTAATATAAACTCTCTCTATGACTTGGAAGTAAAGGCACTTGGTGGATGTTCTTTTCGTTCATTTTTTTTTTTTGTAATAATTGGTTGTGGCCAATACAAATGATGGTTTCTGGAAGTGTGATGTATAAGAAATTTCTGGGGATTGATTTGGTGGATGTTCTTTTCGTTCATTCATTTGACTGGTTTATTTCAGAATTTTCAGAACTTGTGGCTCTGATATACATTTTTTGGCCTCTAGCAGTAGAAAGAGTACCATAGAGTGGCATCTATGAATTATACAACTGTTAATTTTGTTATTTTCAGTTTTTATGGTTGGTTTTAGTTGACTTGACATTTAAATATTAAATACCCTGGAATAACAGGCATTGGAAAGCTGGCAGGCATATATCAGTGGTTGATTACTAGTTATTCTGCTTAACCAGTGTAGTTGCATGATTATTTATATTGACAACTGGATTTTCCTTCATCGAAAACCTGACAAATGTGGTCACTGCAAAAGGGAGACCTGATGTGTGCATTTTACAGTCATGGACACATGTCACAAAAAATAGTCATGAAACAGTATTCCAGAGTCGAACGTGCGAATTTATGTAGTCAGTATATTCAGTAGTTGACCACCTCATTTTACATATTAGATCAGAATTGATGCAAATTATTAGTTACAATGGGTGCTTTGATAGTTTACCATCCATAAAAAAAATTAAGTGAGCTCAATAATAGGCATTTTGTAGAAAATGGGCACTTGAAACACAGGAACTTCATTATCTTTTAAAAACCTGACAATGCCATATGTGCTCAACTACCAGCAGGGAGGACAGCCAGATGGCCAAGCGGTCAAGGTGGCAGTTTATTGCTCTGGGAGACTTGGGATTGAATCCAGACGGGTCAAATAATCCCCAGGAATTTTTTAGGGGTTGTCCATTCAGATATGTTAGGCCCCATTCCTCACCACCCGGCTACTCCATTGTGGGCCTGGCCAAACCCATAATGGGCTTGCAAAAAGAGGCCCTCTTAGTGCCCACAGGGCAGAAAGAGTTAAAAAAAAAACTACTAGCAGGGGTGTTGCACAATAATTTTTCCCATCACCATGAGTGAGACAACTTGTTATTCTTACATGTCATTGAGAATGGGATCCTCTTATGATGCTTCCTGTGAAGATAGCGCACCTAAACCTGTTCAGATGGACTAATTGTGAATGGATTTCAGCTTACATAGTCGACTGCTAGAAATGGTCACGCAATAGGAGCCTCTACCCTAAATAGTGTAAATGATTAACACAATTTTGGTATATGCAGTAGCATCAATGGATTAATTAACTGTATTAATCAAGGGATACCTGTATATTATTTAATATACAGTTTAAAACACCAAGTGAGAGATTGGAAACATTAGTTAACATCAGCAAAGAACTGCTAAATACATCCACCAGCCTTAATTAATTTCATTCACATTCCATTTTTTAATATTCTGGCCTGAGATTTCCATTTACAGATTGGAAAATGCCAGTTGTAATTTTTTCACATTAAATGTTACTAGAAATTAAATAAGGCTCCTTGCTGGATGTATTTTAATGTAGAATTTAATAAATTCTACAGGTTGTTAGTTGACTCAGTTGTAAACATTGCCAGAAGTTACTATTAGCTAATTAATTGATGTTAATGTGTATATGATGGTTGTTTGTATAACATAGACTGGATCGTATAAAACATATGGTCTTGCTGGTCACTAGCAAGATTATAGTATGCATAGCATAATGACAAAGTTGTGTTAGCTGTTACAGGAAATCACTTGCATTCACATGCATCTCAATGTTGTACAAGTTTGGGTATACTTTTTGCATAGAAAGAAAAAAGTTGCTGGATGAATCATTCAATTACAGCTGTATAGCTGCTTGGACTTCACTGTTATATTGGAATCTGTGACCTTTGAGAAACATTTTAAAGAATCAAAATGATGAAAGCTGCAAGGTACTGTACAGTACATATGAACAGAATTTCTCCTCTGAAGTGAAGCAGCATCCACCTTACAGCTCTGGCATGTTGCCTTGCAGATTTCATTCTGACAGCAAAGTCCAAGTAGCTATACAGCTGTAACTGAATGATTCATCCATCAACCTTCTTCTTTCTTAGTGGAAGGTATATGCAAACTTGTACCACATTGGGACATGTGTCTGAATGCAGGAAGTGATTTCCTATAGCAGCCAATGCAACTTTGTTATTTTGTTACTGTAATCTTGTTATGGTGACTAATAACACTATATGAGACATCTACATTAGCATATCTCAAATTACTAATTTTTACTAACATTTTCATCTGTATATATCAGACATCTTCAGGTATATATAACGCAGAACAAAATGGACAAATTAAAATCGAGCAAGGTTTTATGAACACATTACAAATTCAGTTTCTGAAATTTGTAGTGTACAAAAATTTAATTTATATATATATAAATTATAAATACAGTCGACCCCCCTATAAGATCATAGATACGTTCCATTCTTTAGGAATCTGATTTCTTACGAGTCCTTCCAATCACAGCCCGACATGTGTGAAGTTTACAGACTACGGCTGATTGAAAGGTTTTCTTCCATAAAATTAATCGATTCTAGACTAATCTGACTCAACATTTCCAAAATATGTATATATTTTTTGGAAATAATCTGTATAAACTACCGTATAAAAAATTGTAGGATTACTTACCGAGTGTGCACCATTCAACATCGCCATTGCTAAAGCTTGTTTTCGTCGCAGAACAGCTCAGCAAACAGCGGCCGATTTCTAACAACTTATTTTTCTGCGAAAACTTCATTGAACTTTGGAGACATCATTAATATAAATAATTTTTATCGCCGTTGAATAAGAAATGTTTCTTTCACAAGAAATGTATAAAATTACAGTACTGTATTAGACTTACGGTACCTAATTTACATACTGTACAGACGATAGTTAGCGTAAAATCTCCGTAGCGTGGCGCCACGCTAGACGGCGGAAATTATATATTTAATTATAACAAAGTTACAATAAGTTAATAT